AATAAAGATGTTCAGTGGGATGGATGCAGAAGGATTGTCAATCTTTTCTTTTCATGTCCCTTGTTGTAATGTCGAATTGTGTTTTGTTACAACACACACTGATGCTACTCAAATGCTGTATTGAGCCATATGTGCTCATTCTATAGATTAAGGAGGTTTAAAGTTAAGGTAGGTAGCCTATGCCTGCTCTGCTGTCTGACATGTGTTGCTGTTCCTGATGGATGAATGCAATGACTTTGTCACGCCAATAGAGTGCAGTGCAGCCTGAGAACAAGAACAAATAGCCAACCATGTTTCTCTTTCATTCACTCTGAATGAAGCCCCTGGAATTCTGCACACTCTAAATCGTCTAAAGCCGTTTTTGGCAGTCAAACTATATTTGGTGTAATTGTGATGAATATGATCCAACAACATTTTACCCCAAAATGATTGCAAGTGTAATTAACTGACCAAGCAGAGGACATTTATCCCAAATCATCTAACCTTTTCTCCTCGTATTAATTGGAAAATCCCCTTGTCATGGATACAATTTATATCTAGCTGCAAGTCAGCCTATGTTTAGCTATGGCGATGTGCTTGTCTGCTACAGTTAGTAAGTGGATGAGTAAAAATGGCTGCTGTTGGTGACATCAGTGCCTGGACAGGCTCCCTGAGGTCAGTGGGGATTGGCACTCTGGGCCACAGTTTTCTTTAAGAAAGAAAAACGACAACACATCTTGCTCGTAAAATATTATCAACATGACATATCTGCTTTTAAAGATATGAAATAAGAGATTTTAGAAAATATATGGGAGAAAAAAGCCCATAACCAGGACACTGTTTTATATGATACTTTTCACCAGGGGTTTCCCACTCTATTTGGCTTGTTACTCCTAAAAATGAAGTCATGTCTATTTGTGACCTCACATTACAGGATATGGTGGTGGAAGTGAATTAGTAGCATTGCAACCAATGAGTGATTTTTCCATCAGATTGAAGCATTATTATATAAAAAGAAATATATTTATATATATCCTTATGTCTCTCATACCTTAAATCTGTGACCCCTCGGATATACCGTATAGCCCACTGAAGTATCCCTCCGCCGGCAGATGACTACTCCTGTACACATAGTCTACTTAAACTATGACAACAAAGTCAAATGAATTTCTTATTTATAAATCATTATGATTAAAATTGGGAAAATACATTAAGTCTACTGAAAATATTAATTGTACATGTCTTGTCGAGTAGTTGTTGGTTTACTGTAAATGTTACCCAGGAAAAAGAAAAAGGTTTTAAACTGTATTAATCGTCGGTAACTATAGCAAGAGTAGCTACCTAGGCCTACTAACTCACTGGTAAGGAATGAAGCTATGGATTAAACCGCCTAAAAAACAATTACGAATTGATGACGCTTACGGTATGTAGCATTATTAAAGATTTAGATATAAAACATGCATTAGAATGTCCTAATTTCCTTTAGAAAGGGGCTCCTTCACCTTGTCTGTAATTGTGTATTACACTTCTTTGTGTGCTTATGCTGTCATTTAATCTGCTGTCTGCTGAACTTTTACATTAACTTTTTAATGTGATATTTTTAAAAATGCTATCACCGCCATTACTTTTTACAGCACTGGCTCTTTTTGGTTCAGGGGCCCCAGAGTGCTGGGACTATATTGGCATTGTGGTGTTGTGGCATGGCACAGTAGACTCACGGCAGCCACTTACAGCCTGGCACTGAGGCTAAAGTTGACTCATTCGCTCCAAGGCAAGGGGGACTTCTCCTGACGGACTACTGATCTGAAATCTGGCATATCCATAAGGTTATTTGAACAAAAACAATAGTTACATCTCCACAATATGGTCAAACACTGCATGTGTTCACAAGAAGGGCTGCTGAAAGAAGATTAAAGGGAAAATAATACATTTGTATAATTTAGACTGAAATCTGGCTTTGTAATTCTAGATGAGTGGCTACATCATACAAATGTACAACACATCAAAAGTGTGTTTACTCATTTGAAACTATACACTAAAACTGTCACTGTTGCAAAGAGGTGCACAAACTAAACCAAATCCCATGAAATGCTTAGAAGAAACGATTAAGAAAATATTGAATAGGCTTACTGTAAGTGTTTAATGTTTAACTTAACTCACCGTTTGACATAATTACATACATTTCAGTTGTAAAGCAAACTGACCTTCACAGATTCTTCTCCTGGAAACATTGTATTGTCTCTTGCCTCAGGCCAACGTTTTTGTTATGCAAACTGACCATCGCTTCCTTTCACAAATTAGAGAGAGTGAGTGTGTGTGCCTGGGGGGATGTTTTTAACTATATTCCTGAACATGTTTGAGTTCCACGATAGTGTAAAAAGTCAGCACTGATGCAAAGACAGTGTTTTCGACACTCTACAATGTGATTTCTTTTCTGCAGTTACAAATGGAAATGCCAAAATAAGAGTTTTTCAAATGCAAAGAAGTGGGCAGCATAATGACTTTTCTCTTTTCTTGTCTTGCCATTCAGAGGGAGGCTTTTCTTTCCCTTTGTCACTTAGGTTGGCATATAATTAACTCCTGCTTAATATGCTGTTTAAGGGCTCTCCTCCCCATGCAAGAAGCTTTGAACCCATAGACCACAGTCAGGGACAAAACCCCAGTGGGACTGCTTCCTCCATGCTCCTCCTTGTGTGCGTGTGTGCGTGTGTGCGTGTGTGTGTGTGTGTGTGTGTGTGTGTGTGTGTGTGTGTGTGTGTGTGTGTGTTTGTGTGTGTGTGTCTGTTTGTCTTTGTATGTGTGTGTTTTAACAAGACAGTTTTTCAACAAAATTACCGCCGCGGCATTGCTGTATGCTTATTTTACACTGTACAACTATTAAACCCAAAATTAGACTGTGCAAATCTTTCACTATAGCCGAAATAAAATAATATCCCCAACCTCAATAACCCCCTTAAAGCGGTGCTTATTAAATGCATCTTAAAACAGCTCATTCGAAGACAGTAGGTCAGTGTTTTATATTTAACCTATCTTTCCCATGTAGAAGTGCAATATGCTCATTTTAAAGTTAATAAAACAACAGTATACACCCTACAATACCCACAGCTCCAAATTCAGGTAAAAGTAACAAGCTACAAGACACTTAAATAAAACTGGTCTTAGTAAGAAATGTACAATTTGTTTAAACTCAATTGAATGAAAGCAATTAACCTGAAGCCCTGACTGACAACTGTGTGGAGGAATGACCATAACATATGACCAAAAAGATCAGCTCCCAGGACCTCTGAAGCACCTCTGCACCTCTGTGACCCTCATATGTGGCAGAGTTTATTGCCCCCTCCTCATACACCTCCTCTCCTCTATCCATCCCACCACAAAGAGCCGAGATGACCCTTCTGTCCCTCTCTTTCTTCGGCCCTGTGCTCCCTCCCCACCTTCAGGATGCTTTCTCTTCCAGAATACATTAGAGACAAACCCCCAGCAGCCATGATGGGTAAAAGAATGAAGGGGGTTTGCATTTTGTTTTTTCACTATTCTGATAATGTAGGGAAAAAGTTCTTACTTAAAATGTAACCTTGAGCTCATGCAGTTGTGAAAACTGTAACAATGTAAATGGAGTTTCAGTTAGCTTCACATAAAGAGTCATAAATTATCTTCTAAATTAGTTCATAAGGCCTATGAGAAAATAAAATAAAAAATGCGATACGTTTATGTTAAGTCTTAAGAAGTTATGAAAAGGCTCACCATAGTTTGTGATGGGTTTATTGTGCATGAGTTCGACATGTTTCATGATGTTTCAAATTGTACTATAATACATTAATTTGTATGACATTTGTATATGATCTGATTGGTAACACCTAAAATCCCTGCAAGGTAATAATTTCGCCTATTTGTCGTGGGGGATCTAGGTTTTTAATTGAATCGTCAAGTCTCTTAAAACATCCGAGCAGGTAATCTGTCCTTTACTTCTCTAATCTGCGTCACAGTGTCAGATCGCAGTTTGTTTACTCCGCTCAAACTCTCTCATTATGCGCTGTGAAAAGCTACCCGGCTCGCTTGTATTATCTCGCAGAGTTACTGAGATGTGGGGGGCACTAGAAAGCCAAGGTGGGGGTCCTGAACGCTGCGTTAGAGTTTTATTTCGGATGTTTTTTCAGTTGCAAAACAGATTACGGTCCAGGTTGCAACACAAAGGACGGTCAATGCACCACTTCCTACAGCCATCCAGGGGTGAATGGGGCGCGGGACGGGGTCCTCTCCAGGGTACTCGAGCGCAGGTGCGACGTGCATAACAGTCAAGCCATAAAACACGAAGCAGGGGGGGGGGGGGAGAGGGGGATGCGCACACAGCCTACCTGTTGTCATTAACCTGTAGTTAGTATAAGCTCTCCGAGGTGAAAATGTAGCAAAAAGGGGTTAAAAGGCTCATTTGCACCTCTCCAAACAGCCTAAAGATTTAAGGTAAGACGCTGTGCCCACTATAAGACTCTGTGTGAGGAGTTTTGAGAAGATTCCAATTTACAGAAGTAACGAGGAGTAAAACACGTGGTGCAAAATGTAAACTCAAGCAACAAGTAAATGATAGGCTACTGATCGATTAAGTCATCTGCTTGTTTTTGTTATCAAAGTATTTTTAACAGATTCAACTGTACATAAATTAACCAGACCCAAATTCTAGCAAAGTATAACGTGTTATTTAGGCGACGCATGAATGAAAAGTTAAAGTACAAGTTGTGTATTCCCCCGTTTAGAAAACCAGAACATGCAGATATATCGCTCCTGGGGTTCCCTCTCTTAAAGACATGGTACGAAATCGGGACAATGTTTTGTCAAAGTACAACGACATTTATTAGTGGCCTCTATGAGGAGGTCTTAACATTGTATTGTCTCTTTTGTAAATGAGGAAGGTGCACGTTTACGATGCCAAGGCTGACCTCAGGGCCGCCTCTGCTGCTGACATCACTCTTCCTCGCGGCTCGTCGCCTCGCTTGGAGTCCCATCAAGGTCTGAGTCTCCCGCTGTGACCGAAGGCGATGCCTCATCACCATTCATTCTCAGGCAGGCTCTCAGGACAAACACACACTTGCACCGCTCCTTGGACAACTTTTTTCTGAAACAAAATAAAGCGTGATGATGGCAGAAGAAAGTAGGGGCAAGCGAAGGAAACAAGCCAACCCCAGGAGGAATCGAGGTAAGAAACGTGCAGCGCTGGAAAGTTTTAATAAGTTGGTAAAAGATGCAGACAGATGTTGCTGCAGTGAACAGGAGCCGAATTCGTCCGAACCGCGTTGATTTCTTCTGCAGTTTGTAGTAAAACTGTGTTTAAATGTATTGTATTATCGCTCTGTAGTTTGCTGCACATTAGTTTGACAACATTCATGTTTCAGACTCACGTTTCTGCGCTCATGGCTCATGATTGCCTTGCAGCGTAAATTGCAGGGATGAGCAGTCAACTTTCGTCAGGCTGGCATCCACTGGGATTATTTTATCTGTACACACATCTGGGCAAAACCCTAACATAAAAACCCACTATCTTTGGCTGCTCGCTTTTTGTGAAATCTCATGACCCTTGTATGTTTTATACACCTGATTTTTTTCTCCTGAATAAGTGGTAAATCATCTATTATTTAAAAGCATCCCCACTGTCTTAAACCTCCTCGGAAAGTCAGACTTTGTTTTTGTTATTTTAACTACGATTTGTTTTTGTCAAACAGAAAGGCTTCTTGTAATCTACTGTGATCATACTTTAGTGGGACTTTTTCTCACTTGATATTTGTTACTTTACATGCTATAAAACAGAAACTTCCTAGGAGCCTGTTTTCTAATTATTAATATTCTATGCTCTGTTTTGCAATATTGTTTAACACTAGTTTGATGTCTTTTAGAGAGGGAAGTTACAAATAGTTTAGGGGCGATTTTCAACTGATCGAAACCCAAGATTTTTCTTAAACTACAATGTTAAACATTTCACAAGTTATTGTCAAATCTTGACAGGCACACAATTAAATATATATATTTTAAAAAGAACGTAACTCAATTTGGTTATAGTTTTATTATAGGATTTAAAATGTGAGGCATGAATTTAAAGCAGCCTCATGGGCATGTGAAATACAATTTGTATTCTAACATACTTACCGTTAATCACCCAATCTAGAATTAGTGGTAAGCTTTAGGTGTCCCTTTTTCTTTTTTGTGAATTCATTTTTCTTACAACCGTGCTGACTGTTTGCTCAGTTAATAGACTTTGTTGAGACTTTGTTCATTGTGCATCAGGTATTGCCTTTTTGTGGTTATGCTGTTCTGATTGTGACGATGTATGACTCTTTAGTTTAATTTACACGCATCCATATGTTTGTTAGTTACAGCTTGGGGTACTTGTGAGGTTGTGTGTGTGTGCTTGTTTACAGCTTTGAACTCTCAAACAGTAGTAAGGATACACACATGTGCATGAATAAACATATACACATTTGTTCTTCTATCCTGCTGATGAGGACAGATCATTTATGTTAGAGTCAATCCCTCTACTTCTCTCAACCAAAAACACATACAAATGATTCACTGACATTCACTCACTAATTTTAACTTGACACCAACCAATTGAAATCTAAACTTGAACACTTAAACCTTATCAAACTTAAATTATTCGTATACTAAATTATTCTTATACTATAATGCGTGCATGCCAGTGTCTTGCTGCTGGCTGCTTTTAATGTAAAGTTGTTGGGTGCTGCAGGGAAAGCCATTCCAAACCAACCTAACCAATACCCCCAATGCAAACATAGCAGTAACCCTAGTAAAAAACACATAATTAAGTTAATCTCTTGTATATTTTGTCATTTTCCTATTGCTGAGAGGATAAATAGTTGTCAAAAACATAAAAAAACATTGCCGGCTTTATTTTGTATTTCTTGAGGCTAATGAAAGACATTGCAAACCACGCAGGGTCCTTGTTTGTCTCTGATCTGACACACAACCGCCTTAAACCTATTTGCTGTAAGGAGTCTGTTTACTTATATGGTTAATTAGTTTGCTGTAAGTGTTTCCTCATTTTATTCAGAGAGGTGTGAAGCTCGGCAGAGTGTCACCAGGGTGAGATCCTCCCTGGCTGCCGAGCGATAACGGGTACTGTGTGTGTGCATGCGTACACACACACACACACACACACACACACACACACACACACACACACACACACACACACACACACACACACACACACACACACACACACACACACACACACACACACACACACACACACACACACACACACACACACACACACACACACACACACACACTCTCACCTTTGACGACACCAGTTTGTCGACCGACTGCACACCTTTTCACAAATAAGCACCATCTCACTGCCGTAAAAGCTATCAGCAAAAAAGCACACTACTGACAAGGACCTGTCAATATCAGACCACCAGGGAAAGCAGTCCTTTTCCTTTAATTTACTGCAGTGACCTCAGAGGAGAGATAAGCATCACCTCTGGTCAATTTCCAATACGTTTTACCAACAATGGTGGGAATGTGGTAAAGTGAAGGCATTTTAAAGTGAAAGAAAAGAGAAAGATGATACAGTGATATCTATCTGATAATCTGAAAACTGTAAATGCCATGTTAAAGTATTTGATCTTTAATTTGTTATATCAGTTAGAGCATAAGTTCAAGCAGCTTTTTCCCAAATTGCATTAAGAATTGTTAGTGAATTTGCATGCATGCCTGAGCTGATGGCATGCTTATACATAGCATATGTGTATGTGAACATTCTGTGAGCGAGTGCTTATACATCTTTGTCTCATGTAGAAACGTGTGTATTAAAGCCCTGTGTTGGATTCGGAATGTGCCGGGCTGCGAGCTGGGAGTTAAAGGTCCTTGATAAAACCAAATGAATTTGGCAGGCCCGACTCATAAGACAGCGATTCGGGGATCTTTTCCAAACCAGAAGAAAGAGGAAAAAACATAGGCGGACTTTTCTTCTCCCTCCAAGGCGCCTATTGATTATGTCTCTGTCTCCCCCAATAAAACTGTCAATGTTCACCAATCTTGGGCAACGTGAGGAAATTACTGGCAGATTGAAAACAGTCCTAAGACAAAGCATTAGCATTTGAAATGACGACCCATATTTCCTGGCTGTGAGTAAAAGAGTTTCAAAGAGTGTGAATTAATTAGCTGGGCATTGATAGCCAACAGTTCAATACCCCTCTTCAGGCCTGTATACACACTCAGTTATACCAATGATTTCTGACACCATGGGGACATTTGCCTTACATTCTTAGTAAGCCACTTAATGGTCAAATTCATTTCATATTTTCTCATCATTAAAAGTGTTTTTTTCTCAATTGTAGTTGCACTTATTTTGTATGTGAGGCAAACATCTTCATAATGATTGGACGATGATTCAAGATCATATCTATTTTCTCTCAACAAAAATATGCCATAATAATTTTTCATACACTGAAATGCGTTTAAAAATGCATTGAAGTAAATGTGATGAAGCAACCTTTTAATCCATATCTGCAGTACTCATTTAAAAAATACTGTCACTTGTTTAAAGTGTCCTGGCTGTGTTATGTCCGGGCTTTCCCCTTCCCTCAAGCTCAGCAGGCTTCTTTGCCAGAATGACACACACAACTGATCAGACTTATTCAAACATTCACTGTTGAATCAGATGTAGGATTGTGTTTCATGAACACACTCACAAACATATTTAGTCCTGTTGCCTTGCGCTTTTTGCTTTGTTAATCCATGAAAAAAACTCCCTCTGTTGTTGAGTTGATGTGCCTTTTTAAGAGAGAGCTTTCTCTCTCCCTGTTTCCCTCACTCCCTCTTTCTCATTTTTCTTCTTTTTTCAAGTGCCAATTTATTTAAACTCCTTTCCCCTTTTCTTCTTTCTCCTTCATTGATTTCCAAACCCCAGTCTTTGTATGCAGCTGGGGCCCAGCTGTGTGTCTGTGTATGTGTGTGCATACATGTGTGTGTGTGTTTGTGTGTGTTTTTTCTGGCACAGTGCTGCCACAGTGAGCATAGCACACTGTACACAAAGGACTCGGGCAGCAAAAAAGAGAGAGAAAAGGAGAAAGAGAGAGAATAGGGGGGAAACATTTGAGCGTTAAAGACCGACGTGCTTGTACAGTACAGAGTGGAGGGGCCGGGCCTTTTGGACTGGGCCTGCTTTAACGGCAGATGTATCGGCGCTCTGGGATGAGGGGTGGGGAGAGCGAGACAGCAATGAAGAGCGCAGGCACCACAGTTTATTACCAGGACTCTTCAAGGGGATCAGCCCAGGCGTCAGAACCAGCGGGTGGGAGGGACAGAGGAGGAAGAAAGGAGAGGAGGATGACAGAGGTGGGGAACTGATGGGGTTGACAGGGCTGGAGACAGCAAAAACAGCTCCTCGGCGTGAGAAGACAGGAGATGGAGGGGCTGAGGGGTAAAGACAGAAGAGATGGGACGGGCGACAGAGTGTGGGATAATAAGTGTTTCCTCATTTGTTCCTCAACGTTCCCACAGCTCCAAGTGCCACAGATCTCTCCCATCCAAGCTCTATGTGTGCGATGCCAGATCTGCACAGCAGTAATGGGGAATCCCTTGATTTGAGTCCCTCTGGTATTTTATCACATGTTTATTAGATTATTGCTCTTTCTGATGCTTTAGACCGAGCAGAACCATGTCTTACTGTACATTCTTGCCACACTGTCAATCAAGGAGGAATTATTTGGAATGTTGTGCCATTGCATTATTAATACACAACAAGGGGCTTTCCGCCATATTAGCTCCTGCACATGACTGTTTGGAGTTGTATTATCTCCTTAATTTCAGATGTCACAGATACATTCTTGCGTCAGACAATCACAATCTGACCCGTAGATGAAAGCAAAATCCCAGGCATTCATCAGGATAAATAAAGAAATGGTCCAAATAGACTAGAATAGCACAATGGTGAACACTTGTCTTCATTATAAACCTTTAGATATGAGTGTCTGTCTCAAAATCATACTTCTTTAAACTGTAACACTACTCTAATAGCCCAAGTGTGTATAGGTGCCCGGGTACACTTTTCACACTTTTAACACCAACTGTACTGCGGCTTCACACTCATAAAGACATTTGTATTTTCACATCAAAGGCGTTTTATCTGATAAGGCTTCCATACTGTATTTGATGTTGCCAATTGATCCCTTC